CAAGGATTTACAAATTAAGCATCAGCACACCATGCACAGTCAAAACATTTTTTTGGGAATTAGGGTCCTGGCTCGAGACTGGGTAAGTAGGGTTACAACCGCGACCGACCAAGGGTTTGGCAAAAAGATGTGGAAGGGAAGATGGCTTTTTCCTCTTTTTTTTCCTTTTCCCACTCGACATGTAAGGGTCCATGCAGCCATAATGACGCACAATGAGCAAGGATCAGTAGCAGGAAAGTTCACATCTTGACGATGCAGACAAAATAATAAAAACCAATAATCTTCATTCCAAAGTCTTGACTTCACGGCCAAAAGAGAAAATGATCATGTGCAACTAATATCTAGATATAATATACATGCCTACTTGGGTATTGATTTTTCGACATTTGAAGGGAATTATCATATAATAGCTACTAGGTATTTACGAGCTTTGTGGTAGATGTAATTTATTTATTACATCGCTGTACAATTTAATACCCAGATGAGTAATTAACAACACACACTAAAAAGACCCTTAGATTTCCAGCGGGATAGTCCTAGCGCATCATCGTTAGCTCGGCTTTCAACGGAAGAAGGCTTCTCATAATACCTCCAGCTAGTAATGCTTCGTAACAAGCCACAGAAGATTGTACGAGCCACACTGCCCACTTGAATTTTCTCCATACCTAATGCATTCATTCCAAGGTTTCCAAGGTTCCTTGCGAGAACGAGAGAAACCCGGAGAAGCGACGGAATGTTTGGTCACAGCCATTGCGACCTTTGTGTGATGGGAAACTTGTATAACTCAAAAATGGATTTGTAAGCGTGTTCAAATCTCACCAAGCATCCCATAGGGTTACAAATGCATAATATTCCAAAACACAAAGAACCACTTACAACAAAGGAATTGCCTACGCCGTTCTCGGATCTTCCATTTCTCCAGGACACAGCCACAGGAGGAGTGTATCATTACTCTGTAGATCTAGATTTGACAATCTTTGGAATTATTCCTTCGCATTTACGAGCCCATTCCTGGTAAGCGTCAACTCACTCATGGGGCTCAAGATCCCATTCGTCAAATAAGGTGCTGACTATCGAGATTTGCAAAACGTGTGCCAATCTTCGTCGGGAATACCGTTCGTTATTCCTGTCCAGATCCTCTTGTTCCATTTTTGATGCTTCAAGACAGATAAACGAAGGCCCACTTGTTCAGCCACATTTACATTTACACCCCTCTTTCCCTCCATTCTTGATTCTAGGAGAGTCCCGACCAGTGAGTGGTACGAGATCCGTACTCGTACTGATGTGACACGAAGAGATGTAACCCCCAGAAAGGTCGGTACCCATTGATGACACTAGTCATACCGGCACTCCCATCTCCTCGGGTTTACCTTGTAAATTTCAACGTTACATTTTCTAAGTGGGGATCCCGCTACTCCTTTGGGATCACCTCTTCCATGACCACGACATGTTTACCCTTGTTTGGTTTCCCTTGCTATGCGGAATGGCCTTTTGCGATTCTCGATACAATCTCATGCAAATTTCGATGAATGACAGCTTATCCATTTTTGATACCATTGCCAATATCCTATCATCCGCGTGTCAAAGAATACGATAGACAAACGCTCTCAACGAAGAAGCCGCTGCCTAACTGTACAGGAGTCTCTTTCTAAAGCACTTGCCAATGAAAATAGTGGCTGAGGGGCCTACAGAAGACCTATTTTTCTCTTTTTGATTCTATTGATAAAAGCTTTCACAATCTGTCCTTCCTTGATAGCTCCTAGGTACCCATAAACTGGTCATTTGATTATGACCCACGTGAAAAGTTATCTATCCACCGACCAAAACTAGGCCCATGTAATGGCTCGCAATAAACAATCTTCCAAACCAGTCACAATACATTTGTTCATCTCATTCAAGAGGCTCATCTTGTGACTCCTTCCCGCCGCAACTCCGACTACCAAAGAATGCAACTTGTCACTCCAAATTTCCCCGCACATACTCGTAGAGTACATCTGTCACAATTCTTTAATATGTCAACGCGATCCTAGTACCTTGACTCAATGCTAGTCAAAATAGGACTCATCTTGAGTAACCCGACCCTCACCAAGGAGTCATGCACCACGTCAGCTTTGCTCAACCTAGCTGACTCATATGGCCTTGAAGCTAATCTTTTCATGATGCCATATCGGGAAACGCCCGATCAAGATGTGGTACGGCACTCACTCACGATAACCGAGTCGAGTTGGCTGGGTTGCTTCGAAAATCCACACGGGATATGTGACATGTCGTCGGCTTAAGTCCGCAAATCCTCGGGGAAGAGACATTGGGGGATTGCTAAGCCGGAGCAAGAGGCCTACCGGTGATGGTTTATTGTGCCAAGCTACGGTTCGTAACCCAATATCATTACGAGGCAGAAGAGAAAATGAGTGACTCCTCATTCGCTGTTATCTGTCGTTGAATGCGGCTCAGCAAACCTTGACACGAGACATTCTACTTCATAAGCAAATTTTTACAAGTAGGGACTCTTTCATACTACTGCAGGCACCTCGTGCAAATTGAAAAAACAACGTGGGCATCCAACACAACATCCATGAAAAGCTGACCCGAGAAAAATTCACTGGCAGGAGATAGCGAGGGATAGCAAATGGACAAATTAGAGAATGACAGCTTCACTTTCCCCCGCAACAATGCCAGTCTCTCACTCGCGTGTTGGAGATCATTAATCAATTCAATTTAGAAAAGATCAATGCTGGTCTAGCTTTCGAGCGACTTTTTTGTGTGGGGGAGGTTCAATGCACGTTGCACAGCCACTGTGTTTGTTGTCCACTAAGCCTTGAAGAACCCTTGATCTTCGGGGTGAGCGAAAAACTTCCGTCTGCAGGGTCCAGAAACATTATATTATGTTCACGTTCGAACGATTATGCCCCGATCTGTCTTAGGCAGTGGTGACGCATAATTACGGCTCAGCACAACATTGTGAAAATGCAAAGAGTTCCAAGGTTTCCTACGCGGAGGTAACGTGATTATTTCCATTTTTGGATCTGGCCGGGATCGCCGTGAAAATGGGCTGGCTCTGGCTACACAGCATGAAGAAAATCATTCTCTTGCACGAAAAGAATCTTCGAAAGCACACGCAGTGCATAATGTAACACTGGTACATATGTACCACGCCGCCGGTTTGCAGGGCGAAGATTCCAAATATGAGTGATTCCATACTATGGGATGACCTCAAACAACACTTATCTCCTTACGATTACATCTGGAATATGTCCATTGGGAGTTTGCAACCCTCATTGTCCTGAACTGGAATGAATATCAAGCTCAGCCAGTCGCGTACTCATTTCAATTCGCACCCCTGTATTCCCTTTTTCAAGAAACCACTCCTCCATTTCCCTATTCTGTACATCTTGCCCAAAGGTCAATTCCCAAGCATCCGGAAGAGTCTTACGGCACCTAAACGCGGAACCGACGAGGAGATTACCGGATTACTTCTCCATGCGGGTATGCAGAGACAGTGTACACAGTGAGATCGTTTTCCTCATCGCATGGTAGGCATGCATGATGCCAGCCATGGCTGTGAGGCTTGAGCAAGCCACATCGAAAGGACATTCTTACGCGAAGGATTCGGATTTAATTTCCAAATAGAGATCCTTTGTCGGTTCCAAATATTGATACAGTAATGTTCTGGATTCTTCCTTCGCTACTTCCTGCGACATAAATTCCGCGGCGTTTCCACATAAATTCTCTTCTTTGAGTCTGGACCCCCCATTTCTGACAGCATCTCAACGACATAGTTTCTTCCGAAATCTTCCATTGAGCTACAATAACAGAATTCTTCCGACCAAGATATCAGAATTATCTCCGTTCTATTGATAGAAGAATCGGGTATCACGGTATTGTCGGAGGTTGGATTGATAATCCCAATTCACAAACATTGGTGTTGATCGTACATTTCGACATGCAGGTGTAACTCCACTGAAGCGGAGTCAGATTTATCAGTTCATGAAAGAGTTCTCAGCCATGAAAGTTGGAACATTTCCTCCGAAGAGTTTAAAACATCTGAGTATTTCCGGCATTCGATGTCCACGCATTGGGGTTTGTTTGGATATGTTCTCCGTTAATCACCAGAGTGGATAGGGAGTTGCAGGTACGAGACACAAAATCCCCAATGCAGGGTCGACGACACAGACATCGTATCTTGGGCTAAATGTTGAGATGCGGCATGCATCGCATCTTAATAATCCAATACGAAAATTTGGCAACCTGAAAATAAAACGACATGAGCTCCGATTTCGCTGTCGTCTTCATCTGTTTTGAGATGTATTAGCAGAAGAATCTTACGCTCGAGGTGTTGAGATGATAACGAATTGCGAGAGCGAAGCCTTTTAGGGTGCAACTCTCGTTGCGTAAGCTACCTATCAATTGTGTTGAAAATGAGTAAAAATGTAAATGTCATCTAGCATAACAGACCGGAAGCTTCGTCATCTTGTATCAAAATATACGAAAATGAAATGTATATGTGGAGTGGCGGATAGACATGTTGTGAAGAGGATAGGAAGTTAAAGAGGATAGAAAGTTAATAATAAGTCTAGAACCATAAAATGGGTGGTGCCCTGATAAGATAAATTTAACTGCCGCCGCTATTAATCCATCCCGCCCGAGCCACTCTCTCACGTTCCATCAATTTTGACAGCATCTACGATATGTCAGTACCCAGTGGGAAGGTTATTTGACTCAGATGTATACCTAGGCTGATAGAGGAAGAGATAGATATTCATTGGACCTTGAACTTCACATCTCTACAAGTAAAACTGATCCAATCTGTAGCTGTATCAATATGCAAGAGCTCCATGCAATATTTGATTTGGGTGACTGTTGATTGGTAGTGGTTAAACTTCGGATCTCTATTTCTCATAAGGCTGAAGAAGTTCAATGTACCTGGAATCCTAGATACCCAAGAAAGTTCAGTATACATTTTATTACAACTTCCAAAAAAAAAAAAGAATACCACAATAAAAATGTCTACAAAACCGCTATCACCAATTCGCAAAGCCTGGTACCAATGGAAAGCCCTGCGTCTTCCCTGGCGCAAACGTTTCTTCGTCGGTTCGTACACTTCCCTCTCCCCTCTCAACTCGCCACTCCTCTCCCTCCCTTCATGAAGCTAACCAACGCACTCCAGGTCTCGATCTCCAAAATAACTCCTTCTGGGAATTCCGCGACGCTATAACCGCAGGTCGCATGCGCAGAATAGTCCAAACACCATCCTCGATTCAATACTCAGACGTGAAAATAAGTCCTCAGTGGCATCAGTGGCTACGGCATACACGCGAAGATGCACCTAGTATAGAAGAATTGATGGGTGACATAGCGAGACAGGAAAGATTAAAGGTACTAGCTAGACAGGCTGATGAGAGATGGAATGCGAAAGCGAGTTTTCTGGATCAGCCAGCGTCGAGGCAGCAGGCGTTGCCGGCCACGCAAGTCAGAGATGGAGGGGCGTACACGGGGACGGATCCGAGGGGAGATGGGAAGGGTGTGGCGAATGCTGTTGCGAGTGAGGCTGGGGAGGCGGAGAAGGAGAAAGTGGTCACTACGGAAAAGCCGGCGAGTGGTGAAATACCGTATAATGCGACGACACAACCGAGAGAGGAGAAGAAATATAAGGATGATCCATGGAAGAAGGCAAGAGGAGGACCAAGTGAAGAGTGGCAACCCCAGGCCTGGGATCCGAATGATATGCCAGCAGCTCGAAGATAATGTATTAATATTATTATAGTAATTACGATTCCAAATGCACGGAGTAGAAGGCAATTTTGCCCACCCTGTATCTTCCTATTACTTTACGAGCATCTCTTCAGACACAATGTTGCTCGAAGTGCCATATTCTTGCCATGATTTCCACGAGCCACTGTATCTAAGTAAACCGTAAAATTGACGAACCCTTTTCCTCCGGAACCTGATAGCAAATGGTATCGTTGAAAACTCCAATCACCAGTAAACTCCTTGCTGACGTGAACCTATTCGGTCCAAACGTGATTAACTCCAACGTGATGTTAATAATCCAACTAAGCACTAGACTCTTCTACCCAATCCACTAAACTTCTTAGTCTTCTTGAGCTTGCATCTAGAAAGAACTTTGCAATTTCCTCCTCCTTCTTCATTGCATCTGCTTTCCGTCTACCATCCGTCTTGCACTTCTTCTCTCTTGCGCTGATTCCCCTTTCAATCGCGTCATCTAAATCAGGTGTATGAAGACCTTCACAATCCGTCAAGAATAGGCGGAATAGATTTTCCACCAAGATTGAATATTTGGCATTGTCCTCTATGGATGAAGTCATAGGACAATGCGGAAGATAACAGATCTCGAGGATTCGTTGCGTGAGTGTGTCGTTCTTGAAATCCTCAACATCTTGAGGACGAACTGCAGATTTTGGAAGATATCGCGAGCATAATAGTTGTATAAGCGAGACAAGCACCACCGAAGGGAAAGGTGATGTATGCGAGATATTGAGGAGAAGTGAAAACGATGCGATAGGAAGTGCTACGGTGAACTCTGCGAGGAGATCGTAAACATCGCGTAGAGGCATGAATTTTTGCGGGATGGTCGCGGAAGCGCGTGATAGCTGCGAAGTTCAGTATGGGATTTTGAAAGACAGGAGGAAATTTCTTACCAGAGTTATGATTCGTTGACGCAAGCGAATAGAGTCCGGGTCTCCAATATTAGAAGAATATGTTGGACCGCCTTTCTTGCTCTGCTTTGAGGCTACTTCCTCTTGACCCTCTGATGTATCTGATGCTAGATCTCCCTCTTCCTCTTCATCGAAATCACCAAAGCCCATTTCCTTAATATCTTTGCTGTCCTCCCATTTTCGTTTTTGTGATTCATCTTTCTTGATGTCTTTGGTTTCGTTCTCAAAAATTTCTGGATATGCTTTCATGGATTGCGCGGATCCGTCCGCAAAGACCGCCTTTACAACCCGCCTAACAGCGGTTCCATTACGGTTCTGACTAGAGACTCCTAGGTATTGTACCAGTAACGAATCTTGAAGCATCTCATGACTGGGAGAAACCTCCTCGTTCTCTTGGTTCTGATTGACTTGAGCGCTGAATGCTGCTTCATCCATGGTCTCTCGCTCGTGCCAGTCCGCATCCAGCACATCTAATAGATACTCCAAAAGAACCTTCCAATACCTCCACCTCTTGGGATACCTAACACTGCAGTTAAATGACCAGCCCACTATCTGCCAAAAGTCCTTGGCGCATCTCCACAGTCCATTTTGAGATATGATCCCTTTTATATCATCGTCGTCATCACTGTTAGAATCACTCTCTCCATCGCCATAGACTCGACGGGCATGTCTGCCAGATTCAAAGGAAAATGCTTTTTGGAGATTGGCGCTCTTAGGACCAATTTCAGTAAGGGTATTTCGTAGAAGAGTAATGGATCTGGAGGCTACTTCAACATGATCATGCTGGGCTCGAGTTGTAGTGATGGGATGGACTAGCAATGTGCTGGCTATTTGTAGAAACTTGGGGTTCGGTATACAGGCAGCTTTCGAGGTTGTAGTTGAATGTGAAATGCCAGAGGTAAGGACATCGGAAAGTAAGATGAGGGCGTGGTTATCTATTTAAAATGTAAGTAGTCGCTCAACAACCAATGTAGTCAATCCCTACACATCCGCTCATCAAAGTATATTTTGACATGGTCCTCAATTTCTCTAGAGACTCTGTTTGCTTGACAATATTGTGGATTCTCTAAAGAATTCCCACGTTCATCTGTGCTATCTGCCATAGAGGATGGAGCCGGCGACGATGGGGACTCCAAAGCCGTGTGAAATGAGGATGGGGAGCTCAACATCCTGGCGTTGTGGGTGGGTGGGGGTGTCGCGGTGCTATAATTTCGACGCGGATTTCGCGTTTGTGGCCTGTACAACCCCGCGTCTTGAGTGATTTTTACCGATTTTTGGCGGGTTTGCTCCCTACATTAACTGAAGACTGACAATCTAAAACATCAATATATTGAATGAATCCAGATGTTACACGTTATTCTTTCACAAAAAGGGTTTATCTATCTATTATGATGTTGATTTTGAAACCTCTGAAGTTTGAGGAAGGAATCAATAACAAAGTAGGCCAGAATGCTTTCCATCGTTTCAAGTGGAATATTTTGGAAGGATCTACGTTGGGTGTGGTGGTGTTATTTGTGAATGTTTGCAAAGTTACAGATTTCCCAAGTTCAAAAGAAGTGTACATGTTTTGAGTGGACAATGTCACCTGGTACCAGTTCCATTATATGGTTATGATGAAGTTGGATGGTAAGATTTTTCTAAATTTGGACACGAGAACTTTATATTGTCAATACTAGCATCCCGCGCAACGTGTTTTGAAGACAAGATCTCCGTTCAAGAGTATTCAAATCCTAGTTCTTGACCGCAGAGATATCAATAAATCGAGAGAAGACTACACGGTGAAGCGAATGCATGAACTTTGCCTACGAAAATTCGATTAACCTCAATCTTCACGTTCAGAACAACAAGGTGCAAAGTTTCTTGCACTGGAGCATAGCCTGCATACAATGGGTACTTGGTGTTGATCATTTGTTTTCAAACTTTAGTTCTAGCAGTGAGACACAAAGATTGTTAGTGAAATGGGTTCAATGGATAACCGAAGTTCGCGGTTGTTTCTCCTATCCTACGGTACCTCCAATAATCTTCAGGTTTGCAAACCTCTCAATGTCAAATGGTCTGTCTTATTTGAAGGCAATTTGATATATATGCGCGCCATTGAAATCCTCGATGCCTCTCAAATGTGAGACAAATAAGATTTTGGTTTAATCCACACCGGACTCTTCTTCGCCTTCATCATCATCATCGTCATCGTCATCGTCCTCATCGTCGGAGACGTTCTCACCAAGCGCCTTTAAACGTTCCTTATACTTTGTCACCTTCTCCTCCATGTCACCGAAAACCATCAGCAGATCATCAAGTTCGCTTTGAGCGGCCTGTCTCGCGGTCTCTTTGTCCTGCAGATCCGCTTCCACTTTGGCAACCTTATCTCGAGCAGTGCTGGCCTGCTCCTCCATTTCCTTGACTTTCTCCCCCGCTTTAGCAGCCTTGTTCAGAGCGGCGCTGGCCTGCTCCTCCATTTCCTTGACTTTTTCCTCCGCTTTGGCAACCTTGTTTTGAGCGGTGCTGGCCTGCTCCTCCATTTCCTTGACTTTCTCCCCCGCTTTAGCAGCCTTGTTCAGAGCGGCGCTGGCCTGCTCCTCCATTTCCTTGACTTTGTCCTCCGCTTTGGCAACCTTGTTTTGAGCGGTGCTGGCCTGCTCCTCCATTTCCTTGACTTTCTCCTCCGCTTTGGCAACCTTGTCTTGAGAGGTGCTGACTTGCTCCTCCATTTCCTTAATTTTCTCTTCTGCACGCTGCAAGCGTGCATCTTGTTCGGCCTTGTTTGCAGCGTATTCATCATGCGCAATTTGCAGATCTTGAACGTGGTCATTGTTTGCCTGTACCATATTAGTGAACCATTGACCATTGGGATAGACGAAAAGCATACCTTTGCAAGATCAGATTCTAATCTTTCAATCTTACTCTGAAGATCAGCTTTTTCCGCATCTGCCCGTCGCCGCACACGTTCAGAGTTAGCCTCAGCTGTCTTTTGTACATGTTCCAGCTGTCTCTGATAATCTTGGACTACCCGCTCATGCTCAGCCCGTACACTCTCAGCGTTAGCTTCCGCACTCTTTTGAGCTTGTTCTAGTTGCTTCTGATGATCTTGTTTTATCCGATCGCTTTCTGCTCGAATACGGGCAATGTCAGCTTCCGCTGTCTTTTTGACCTCGTTTAACTGTCGTTGATGATCTTGATTCGTTCGGTCATGCTCTACACGCAATTTCCTTCTGCTCGTTAGCCCTTGAAGTTTACCTGACCCGAATTATACATACCTCAAATCTTCTTCATGGTGTCGCTGGAGAGCCTCGTTGACATTTTTAATTCTCGAATGTTCCACTAATGCGGTCTCCTTGGTCCTTCGATGATCGGCTTGCTCCTGCCCTAATTGTCCTCCCAGAACCACCAACTCTTCTTCCGCCTCTAACAAAGCCTTGGACTTCTCGTCTAGCTCAGACCTCAAATTGTCTACCATTTCTCGAGAAATTCCCTTTTGAACACCATTCGCGATGACTGCGATTTCAAACCCAGGATCCCGGTCGATTGCACGTAGTAAACGACTGAAATTGTCTTTCATGAAATCCACGAATGATTTGTCAAAAAATACATCAGGTAAGCTTCCAGGCGCTGCAGAGCTGAGCTTTTGGGGAAGAACTTCAAAGTCTCGCAGTAATGGGTGAGCTCTGAGTTTTGTAAGTCGATCTGTGTATTGTTCTCTTCCTAATTTTGAGCCGAGAATCGGATGGATGGTCGCCCGGGGTACTGGGGAATCTTTGGTCGAGAACTCATAGACAATTCCAAGCAGAACAGCACAAAGTCCTTGAACCATCACGCCATCGCCGCCTGTATGTAGAGCAGCTTGAATCAGACTTTGAATGTTGCTACCTTCGCCCAGGAAGTCATTCACAGCATCTGGATCTTCGAAAAGCCACCCACAAAGAAGCATGAGATACGCAACCAGGACGCGCTCATCCACAGCTTTATGAACGCCAAGAATTAGATTGGCAGTGATAGATTGAATACAAGTTATTACTTCCTCTCCATTTTCAGCATCGCCCTCAGCAACGCCCATGGCCATACTCTTCGCCT